AGGCCTAGCAAAGTCCGACACCTGTGATGGAGAAAGGCAGAGCGAAGTTGCAGCGTTCCGGGGGAGTGCTGCCAATAATCTGTGTTCTCATCTTTGCTTGTGCGTGGTAACAGATTTTGCACAAGAAAATGCACTTCTTTATTTGGGGCTTAAGTCGGGGAATGTAAAATTCTGACGGACCATATGTTGCATGAGGCGATGTTTCGGCATGAAGCATTAATATGTGATAAGCATGATGAGGTGGCAACACGAGACTTCTCTGGACACAATTATGGATGGCGTCGTATACGTCATGTCATTGAATTGGCAAGCCGACCATTCACAATAGGAAGAAGACTGTGTCGAGGAATGGGTTTTAGGACCAAGAGGGAACTTCGCTTGTCAATAGGCTTTGATTTCCTCAAAGTGCATACTATCGCGGCCTGAAGGAAGCCGCGTTGCGGTGATGCGATAAGAGCGACCTTTGCTTTTGTAAGTCTAGGTTCGTCACTGTATCGAATTGGGAGTGTAATGAAGCTTACTCCTTAAGTTTAATTTTGAGTCGCTATAATGAACTTGGAGCATGTGCGACACCGAGTGCTCGGGATAGATGAAAATCGTTCGAGGATGTCAGTATGCAAATCCTCTGTTGTGTGAAAAGAGTCAATTTTCGACTTTCAGTCGGGCATATATGCGTATGGGCGATTGTGGCCAAGAATCGGGATTCCTGTTTACTCGGTTCCCAGTTGGTGCAGAGCGGTTCTCTTTGACCGATTCAGCAGGGATGTCAAGCACTGCTACAGTCGCCAAGTGGCTGTCCTACTAGGTCAAGGATTTGAGACGTTTGAGATTGGAAATATACTCTTCATGCATGTGGTGGTTTTTCTAACCAGGCTAGTAACAAATTTCGGATCGACCATGATATACTTTATTGCTGCTAGTTTAAATGCGCGTGTGCGATGGAAACAGAGTTTGGATAGTAGTAGTCGCTCCACATAAATTCAAGTCGTGGCAAGACTTATTGTTTTGTAAGTAGCCACTTTTGCTCCTTTTGCTACTCGTACAGTGGCATGTGTCGCAGTGTCTTTCTTGTGAACATATATAAGTTTGCGCAATGCGCTTTTCAGAACGTCAGAAGCTCGTGTAGCTTGTGCTCTGGGGCATAATTTACCCATGCGTGGATTTGTATCTTGTGAGATATCGTTTTAAGATTGTTTGCAAAACTGGGACCATCACTTTTCTAAACCGAAGTGGTTTTAACTTGTTCGTCACAGTCGGTTCCATCTAGGCCATAATTTCTGTATTAGAATTTCTTGCTTGTAATCAATAATCTGGCGAAAGCCATCCTGCGGGCCGTGAAAGTTTCGTCACAGAGGATAGAATTTGTCGTCTTTGTATGGCGGATATGCTGATATGACTCTGTAGTGTATGAAACTGGTCAGATATCGCATTCCATTAGATCCCCAGAGTTTTGTTGTACTTTCCTTTTTCGAATTTAAGGAAATTATGTCCAAAGATTTTCTTTAGTTATATCCTTTACAGATATTAGGGTGTTTCGCCGTTATCCTTTTAACGGAAACCCTGCGGTTTTGAGGGCTTTTACCACCGTGATAGTGCACTCGTTGCGTTGTGGAAGACTGTGACTTCCAGACAGATATCGTCTACATACGTTTGTGTTTTTAACACCTGGGTGCTCGAGGAAATTCTGACTTATGTTTTCGCAATTCGTGCAGTGTTGAGATGGCTTAAATCATGAGCACAGTTGACACCTCAAAGGTAACTGTTTCAATTTATAGTCCGCGGAGTGGACTATTGGAGATTTTTCGGAAAATAATTTCGGCTGAAAATCTTGATGTGTTTTATGTATGCCTTATTTGTCTATACATTTTTCGACGTCCCGTTAAATACGTATTTGAATATACGCCAATTTAAAATGAGTAGCATTAACATCTGGTTGGAGCGTGGGTCCCTAAATAGAAATATCATTTAGGGAATTCCCGATGCTAGTAGATCTTGATGCATTAAATACAACTCTTACTTTAGTTGTTTTTTGTCTGGCTTTACTACCTGCGTGAGAAGGCAAGTAAAATGAGTAATATTGCCATTTATGATGCGATGCTTACGCATTTTCCATGTGGTCTAATACTGGAGTGTATTCTTCTAAGGCCATCGTATTTGGCTTAAACTCACCTTTTTTAAGTAAAGTTTTTTCCATACTTAAATTGCTGATATGCAAGTGAGAGTGACTAGGCGAGTGTGTTGAGGAAATTGTTGTTTTAGTGTAAAGTAGACGTACGACTTTATCTGATCTAGTAGTTGTGCTTGTAAACGTCTTCCCAATACTGATCTAGGGGTTGTGATTGATATGGGGGAGTTCTCTAACTCCCAAAACTTTTTAATTGTGAATTGAGGTATTCGTTGAGACTTTCCTCAACCTGAGTGGTCATGGTGGTACTGGTTCCGAAACTAGTCCACTTAGGATCCAACCAAAAATGTATTTTGTGCCAGAAGTGTATTTGAAAATTTTCTCAAACTTTCTGAATATTATCTGTAAGGGTATGAATCGTTGCCTAATAGAAGGTCTATTTGAGCGGAGTGTTGCAGTTGGGATCTGCTTAGCTTTAGGTGTGAAACCTTTGCCCATGCTTGCTATTTATGTGATAGCTTGGAAAGCATATTTGTTAAGTTGCGGTAAGACTATATGCTTCTTGCTGTATGTGCTTATCCGCCTGGGGGAAATTAGGCATGGGGCGGATTTATTCGAGTTTGGACTACTCTTCCGCCCATTCCGTGATTTCAAATTTACTTTTGTTGGCATTTATAGCTCTATTTTGAGCCTAGACGCCTATGAATGATCGTTTGTGATCCTGGTCTATTAAGGCCCTAAGCATAAACAGGTGTTTCGATGGGACGACAGCTGTTAATAATACTCTACTTTGATTTTCGCAGTGTAGCGTTTGGGTTTTAATGCCTTTGGCAGCATTGGGTGCTTTATGGCAATTTTCGGATTTGCCACTTCGGAATTTGCTGTTGCAACTAAACCGTGCTCTTTCCATATTTGCGCTAGTTGGGGGATGAGCTGGAAATGTCTGTAATGCAGCATTGAATGATTTGCTTTATGAAAATAAACGCAATTAACATTGTTTCGCACTCTTTAAGTGTATGTGCATGTGATAGGCATTGTACAAGCCTTTTTGTTCGTACATAAATTATTTCGATCGGTACATATTCTTTTTTTGAACTTCGCAAGATTTGAGAGCTTATGCCCCTGTACACAGTTCGATGAGTTTGTTTGTACTGTTCGGATGTGAACGTTTGCTTTCTGAAGAAGCTTCTATTTAAATTGGTTGTTGCTATGCAATTGTCTGTGAGCCTTCTATTTACGGTCGTGTTGAAGTGGACTATACAAGAGAAGAATATGTCTTATTAGAGGACGGAGACGTAGCTTTATACAATGACTATGGCGACATTTTTCACATTACTAATTTAACTTATTTTAGAGAACTTATAAATTCAGGCAAAAGTTATAGTAATAAAAAATACAGATATAATCATTTACATGGAAATTATGAAAATGAGGTAGCATATATTAATGATTTAGATACAGAACCAGAAATTGAAATTACCGAAACTTTATTAGAGCAAATACAAATAAAGATACAAGATATAAAAGAGGGATAAATGAATTAGGGACACTATGGAAGTGGATAGCAGGAACACCAGATCATGACGATTTAGTGTTAATAATTAATAAGTTAAACGAACTAATTGAAAATAACAATACACAACAAACTCTGAAATTTTTAAAATAATCAGTAAATTAACAGATCGAAAACGAAAATTCACATGTTAAAATTTTACCGAAAAGTAAATATCAATTTTTAATAACTGAACTACAAAATATGGTTTATACGATAGCTATGGCAAAAATAGGAATTTTAAACCCTGCAGTTTTACATTTAGAAGAGATAAAAAATATATGTAATACAAAATGAACACGGACGATTGACTATAACTGATTTAATGGACATTTCTAATTTTAAGATATTAGAAAATAAAGATGTAATTGTTACATATATTAAGTATCCAAAAATTATAAATGATTGCAAATATTATGAAGTAAGAGCAATCACACAAGAAGACGGTAAATTAGTAATTGGCAAAGAAATTACCAAATGCAAAAAAGAATATATTAATATAAGAGATTGTAAAAAAGAAATGATAAACACGTATTGTAAAATTAATAATACAAATACTTGCCTATCAGATATTTTGTCCAAAAAAAGGTTAATGTAAAAAAATCAAAGAAAAAAATAAAGAATTAGATGTAATTAAAGAAGGAGCAATATTAGTCTCCGGCAATAACATAATTGATGGCTAAGCCATAAATGGAGTTTATCTTGTTACTTTTGAGAATTATACAAATATTAACAATGTTATATATGAAAATGTCGATTGTAAAATTTGGAAATATTTAAAGAACAATCATATTAATAATTTTGAAATTATAGAATATATTGAAACAAAAAATAAAGAAATGAACTTTGAAAACATAAATATTTGAGCTGAACGAATGAAAGTTTTTAAACATCATTAATTTTTATGGTACATGCTGGTAATTTTGTTAATAATGTTCATAATTTATAGGATTGCAAAATTTAAAAAATCTTATAAAAATTCTAAAATAAATAAAAATTTAGAATCTCCAATAATATCATATAACGCTATATTGAAAAAAATAAATAACCTTTCAAAAAATGATACTGAATAGGGGACGATTCATCTTAGAGAGGGGGGAGTTAACGGCAGCCTTCACAAAGTAGCTTTACGCTCATTATAAACAAAACTATTTCTTTGCACTCAGCAATAATACAATTTCTTAATAAGCATCTTTGCTTATTTAAGTAATCAATACTGTCGGGGTACTCGACGTTGAGTTTGCCTTTGTGCCAAATAAAATAAAATATTAATTAAAATTCAACAAAATGTAACTTTAATTACTTTGAGTATATAGGGTAGAAATATAGACAATTTGTGTGGGTTAATTGTACAATATTTATGTGCGTGTTTGTTAAGTGTTATACATATGTATAACTCAATTTATGTGTTATTTATAACTTAGACTTAAATAAGATAAATTAACTATGAATTCAATTATAACCTGATGTGGGTTGATAATCCCGCGTAGATTTTGGTGGTGGTGCTGTTGTTGTTGTTGTCCTGCTGGGGCGATCTGATTTTCGCGCCTTTTTGTGTCCGTCCGCGCTGATATTTGCTCCTGCCTGCTGATTTGTTCTAATTAGAATTATGAGCTATGTTGGTGCTGTTGAGCCTTTTGCATTGTCCTCTAATTCGTATTTATACGAGTTTGGAGAACAATGCAGGGATGTGTTCATTTGGTATGAACATCCCGGCCGCCTTGCAGGGTCTGCGAATAAAAAAGTTATTAGATCTATTTCGCTTTGGGTTAATGAATATTGTTTTAAAATGGGTTGAGTGGTTACTTAGGGTTTAAATCGCACAAGCACCGGTTAGAGTCCAACCGAGTGCGGTGTTTTGTGCGATCACGGTGCTGTTGTCTGGGTTGAATAATCCGGGTTTCATTGTCCTTGGGTAGATGTCTGCTCCCAGTTCCATCATGATTTTCTCATCCTTGTGAAACATAGGGTCGCCTAGGACTAAATGGTCGAATTTCTTAAAGATTTCGCCACCAATATCACGATTGTAGGGTCGGGTCGCTAATTCCTGCGTCATAAGGCAGTTGACATCGACATGCCAGTCGAAATCAGTGAGTGACCCTATGACGATTTTACATATGCGGTGAGAGTCAAGGTACGTTTTCGGTAACCTCAATCTCTGAACTAGCTCCGAGGCAATAATTGTCACCTTTCTGGTCGGGTTAATTATGGCACGTATTTTATTCCATTTGCCATCGAGTTTTATTTTTATCATGGCAGTGGGTATAAGGCTCGGCTTGGCCAGTAGTGTTGGAATCTCTTGATCTTTGTGCAGTCGTTCGTCGCTCTTTGTTGGTTTGGTTTTCTCTTTGCAAAACAACCTGGGGTGTCCATGTAGGGTTTAATGGTGCTTTCCGTTACACATGTTTCATCGTTTTGCGCTTGTGCATTTTTGTGTTGAGTGTGATCTGGCCAAGCAGTTGACGCAGTACTTATATTTAGTTACTGCGTCAAACTTTTCGTGAATGTTCGTTTTATCAAATTTTGAACATGTCACCAGCCGATGATCTTTTTTGCACAATCTACAGGCGACGTGTTTATGTGCGCGTTTTGATGAATGGGTGATAGTACGCCGAGCCGTGCGGTGGGTACTTCTTCTTTCTTCTTGAATGGGGGAGAGGGTCGCTTTAAAGCGATGTAAGCGTCTAGCCAGGGTCCCATTGTCGGAGAGTGGGGTGATGCTTCGGGTGACGCTGGGCTGCTCTGTCAGCTGCAGATTGATTTTATGCTGTTTTGAGGAGCCATGTCACTATAAAGAAATAAGAATAGTACCGTAAGGTGACTATTTTGGTTATTGGGCGGGTTACTCTGGTCTTATTGTCTGCACCAAGATAGGTTTTTTCGATGCGACCAAGTTTCCATTCATTTGGGGGTAGAGTTTCTTGGCGTATAACTACCATATCATTGACCTCTATATTGCGTTGAGGGTATTTCCACTTATACCGTTTGTGGAGTTCTTTTAGATATTCTTCTTTCCATCGTTTGCAGAAGTGTTAATGGAGTATCTTTAACTTTTGCCATCTATGTGCGATGCTTAGCTGCGTATCTTCTAAGTTGGGTTCTGCTGGGGTTAATAAAGCGGTACCTATTAAGAAATGGCCTGGAGTTAAAGGTTCTATATTCCTGGTGTCTTCAATTAGTAGGCTTAAAGGTCGAGAATGCAAGCAGCTTTCGATTCGAATTAGAAGGATTGATTAGGGAATCGTAATCCTTAATGAAGGTTTTCCAGCGATGGAGAGTTAAGGGTTTTAAACTTTCATCAGAAACGGATTTATCGAGTCATATTTGTTGCATTATTATTTTGGCTGTGACTACAACGGGACTGAGCCAACCAGCTGGGTCGAACAATTTTGCTATAATCGATAATAGGTACTTCTCTTTTAGTAAACGATGTCTTATCGTGAATAGGGTTGATGAAAAAACGAATGCATCTTTTTTTGCATTCCATCTGATCCCCAGTGTTTTTGTGCTATTGGATTCCGGTAAACTAAGTAAGTTCGTATCCAACAAGTGTTCTTGTGAGATTCCAGATAAGACTTTTGGGTCATTTGAGGTCCATTTGCGTAGAGCAAATCCTGCGGACTCCAAAGATGAAGTAAGTTCGTCTCGTGCCATCCTCGCAGTTGCTACGTCATGTGCTCCTGCAAGTACGTCATCGACGTACATTCCGTTTCGAAGTATCTCTGCTGCCAGTGGGTGGATTTCTTGTACATCATCCGCTAATTTGAGGAGGGTACGGATAGCTAAATATGGGGCACAGTTAATACCAAAAGTAACAGTTTGTAGTGCAAAATCTTCTACGGGGTCATTAATCGATTTTCTAAATAAGATTCTTTGAAATGGGGTGTGTTTTCTTTCAACAAGTATTTGACGATACATTTTTTGAATATCTGCATTGAATACAATTCGAAACATACGCCACTTTACCACTAGGAATACCAGGTCTGCTTGTAAAATAGGTCCAGTGTGTAGTACATCGTTGAAGCTGTTTCTATTTCAGGTGTGGCAGGATGCGTTGAATACCACTCGCAGTTGGGTCGTTAAGCGATCGGTTTTGATGACTGCGTGATGTGGTAGATAGTATATTTTCGTATTCTCTGCGGGGTCATATTCTATTTTGGTCATATGACCGAGTTCCAGGTGCTCGTTGATGGCCTTGTCGTATTCTGTTTTTATTTCAGGTTTTCTAGATAGGGATTTTTCATTTCTTAGAAACTGAGCTAAAGCTATATGTCTTGAGTTGCCCAAGTCTACTTTTTCTGGGGTTTTAAAGGATAATGTTACCACGTAGCGCCCAGTTGGGTGTCTTCGGGTTGTTTTTTGATAATTTTGCTCACACAGTATATCCGAAGTTGAGGGTAGAGGCTTTTTCGGAATTTCTTCGACTTCCCAAAATTGTGTGAGCAACTTGTCGGGGGTCGTCTTATTGAAAAATGACAATAATGAGGGTGAGATGGGGTTTTCAGGTGTGGGTCCGGAAAGAATCCAACGGAATTCTGTTTCTTGGCCTAGTAATGATCCGAGTACATTTCTCTGTACGCCACTGAGAATTATTTGTGGGTAAGGATCAAGGATGTTTATAGAAGTGAGGGTCAGCTAAGCTAAAACCGAATTCTTTATTAGAAATTATTCTATGAAGTGAGTGAGTGGGTAAGTTATCGGTTAAAGTTTTTAAGGTAAACGCGTGGGTTGTTATCTTAAATTCCCTTTTTGTTGGTGAACGAAGGGTGAGTTCGCAAGTTTTGGTAGCTGTTGCGGATACTGTGTTGTTCAATCCGATCACTTGTGCGTTTTTCTTGAATGTGGGTATGTTCAATTTTCTGTGGAACTTCTCGGAAAAGAACGTAGCTTCTGACCCAGAGTTGATTAGTGCTCGAGCTGTATATAATTGCCCTTTGTAAGAAACTTGCACTACCTAGCAAAACCTGCTTCCTACCTGAGTTGTGTGGGTCCTGAGTTTTATTTTGAGTGGACTGTAAGAGGGTTGTGTAGGCTTGCGGATTTGTATTGGGATTACGGGTTTGGGAGACACTACTATCGGTAGAGTCAAGAGGCGAGTTCGAGGCTCTTGATCCTTGCGGGAGGGATTGGGAGCGGAAGGGGGAACTCGTTTGTGTTCGTATTGTGATACCAGGTCCCTCCATGCCATCAAGAAACCATCATTTGTTAATGGAGCGTTTTTAACTATTGCTCTTGGTTCTCCTCGAGTTTTTTGAATTAAGTGAAACAGTCTCTCCACGTTACTAGTTTTGTGATTGTTTACATATATGGCCGTAAACATGTCTCTGAATGAGGGCCAGGTTACGAAGTCGCCATAAAATATGTCCGTGTGACAAGGGGGTAGATGAATTGAAGATCCTATGTCCTGCGATGTGTTTTCATCTGAAGCTCGTTCTTTTATTGTGGGGGTTGGGGTCTTAAGATCATCTATAGCTTGGCTAATAAATCCCAAACATTTCAAATATAATTGATGACCTGTTTTAAATTTTTCTTTAACTTTTGAGAAGTCAATAGTCTCACCGGGTTTTTGTGGGGTTCTACGAAAGGCATCGTACGACTTGTTTGCCTTATCGTAAATAGCGTTGAGTTCAACTCATTTTATTTCCAGAGTATAAACGGATTCATCTTCGGGGTGGGTTTCGTAATGTTCTTCGATATATTCGAATAAATCCGAAATACAGAATCTAAATTCTTCCATTTTCGAGAAAAAATTTATTTATTTCTTTATTATATAGATATGTATGTATATATCGCAACAATTAATAAAATTTAAATGAAACAAACAAATAAATTTAAAGTAATTTTTCTTTATTTAAATTTTAACAAGAAAATTCCCGAATTTCCAAAAAATTTTTGTTTTGTGTGTGTCTTATATATGCACAATATTTAAAATTCCGATGGACGAAAACTTTCCTACTGGGTCTTTTGAATTTTTTCCTACAGGGTTTTTTGCTTGCTCGTAATGCACTAGCAATGAATATTTAACAGAGCGGGTAATGCAATTTGAGTATATATATATATATGTACGTGTATGTACGAATAGGTACCAAGAGTAAGTGCACTTTTACACAGGGACTCAAAAGAGTCTCATTTTTTTCAAATTTTCTTTTGGTGTCGCTCTGTGCATTCACACGGTCAAAAAGAGTCCAGCAACTCGAGTCTAGTTTTTCTGCATTCCTTTTCACAAAATTTTCGTAAATATTTGTGCGGTTCGACTGCGCAACACTGCGTGCTGCGTATTTCATTTGTATGTTGAGATGATGGTCACACATTTTGCTTGCAATGAATTACCATGAATATGGTAGAACAATATGCATAATACAAGTACCTACCCGCTAAATAGTTTCAAAGAAATACTAAAGACGGGAATTCCCCAGTCCACAAGAATGTATTGAATCTCCGCTACTAATATTTTCAAGGCCAAATTTATAATAGGAATTTCCTAATCTTTAAGTATTAAAAACTCATAATTTCTTTACTCCGTATTAAAAATTCATAATTTCTTTACTCCATAATCTATATCTTAATTTTCTCCTTATTTACAATTTGTCATAATATTTCTATTATTCTATGCATACATAATTGCATATTACATACAAAAATAGATAACAGAACTCAAATTTGCGATCGAATTCATTTGAAACCGAGCGCTCTTGCAACCATTCAAAGAATTTGAAAGTGAAAAGGAATGCTGAAAAGGGTAGCAGCGAGCTGTTACGAACAAGAACACAAAGCGTGCCAGCCGAACACGAGTGGCACGGTCCCTTCGTCTTTCCTCGTCGTCCCCTCGCCCACAATAAACTGGTTTGAGACTCTTTTGAGTCTCCGTGTAAAAGCACACTAACGCTGCTTGGCTCTCAAAAATTTTATATTATATTGTAAGTACGTACTTATGAGTAATTTGAATATACAGTCAAAGACAAAAGTTTAAATACACAAACAAAATATCACTTTTTATGCAAACAAAGCATTTTAACGCAAATGTAAGCATGAAGTTTAATTTTAGTAAATTATTTATTAACATTGAAACCAAAAAAAACATCCAATGTAGCTTAAATAGCGGTTAATTCATCAGAAACATAAATAAAGTCCACGGAACAAAAGTTTAAATACAACCACTGAAAAATACGCATCGCATATGTTTCACCAATGTGCCGTTATATGCGATGATTTAGCAACTTATACATTTGTATTCGGTATTAGAAGCGATTTCTTCTCCAAGAGTGGACATAGAATAAAAAAATGGGTAAAGGAAAACAAATAGAGAGTGGCGTTAAAAATTTAATAATTAAACATTTTCAAGATGGAAAATCTTACCGAGATATAGGGAAAATCCTTAATATATCTTGTGCAAGTGTGCAAAATATTATTCGAAAGTACAAAACGCACAAATCCGTGGAAAATAGGCCAAGGTCTGGGCGTCCAAGGAAGCTTTCTCGGCGAGATGTTAGTTTAATCATCAAAGAAGTGACAAAAAATCCCAAAATAAGTGCTCCAAAGATAGCCGATAGCATCGCTGCAGCTTCCGGTAAATCTGTACACCCAAAAACTGTAGCAAGAGCCTTACGGGAAAATATCTATCAAAGCAGAGTTCCACGAAAAAAACCTCTCATATCTGAGAAAAATAAGCAACTTCGTCTAGAATTTGCAAACAAATACAAGGATATGGATGGATCTTTTTGGAGAAGAGTCCTGTTTACTGACGAATTTAAGTTCAACCTTTTCGGAAGCGATAGTCGTAAAAAAAATTTGGCGTAAAACAAAAACAGCATATGAAACCCAAAATTTAATACCAACCGTTAAGCATGGGGGGGGTAGCGTCATGGTTTGGGGAGCGATGGGAGCAGCTGGCGTAGGATATCTAACGTTTATCGATGGTATAATGAACAAATATGTTTACAAAAGTATTTTGGAACAACATATGCAGTCTTCGGTGGATTGCTTAGGCCTCGGAAGTTCTTGGATATTCCAACAAGACAATGACCCTAAGCATACCGCGGGTTTGGTGAAGGATTGGCTGTTGTATTATGCTCCTCGTCAACTCTATAGTCCGCCACAATCACCAGACTTGAACCCGATTGAGCATGTTTGGGAGCTATTGGCACGGAAAATTGATAATGCGTGTTCAACTAGCACTAGACTAATGTCTTATATTTTAGTTTAATTTAGTTGCGATATGAAACTCTATGTAATGTATTTAAACTTTTGTCCCGCGTAATTTTATGTTTTTGATGAATTTACAGTTATCTAAGCTATATTGAAAGTTTTTTTTAATTTCAATGTAAGTAAATAATTGACTATAAATAAACTTCCCACTTACATTTTTGTTAAAATAATTTTTTCCAATAAAAAGTGAAATTTTATTGGTGTATTTAAACTTTTGTCTTTGACTGTATATATATATGTATAAGTGTATGTACTATTGTTACCAAGAGAAACGCTACTTGGCTCTCAAAAAATATATATTATATTATATATTGTAAGTACGTACTTAGGTATGTATTATGAGCAATGTGCTAAACGGAATATGGCAATAACAAATTCGCAAATACTTTGTACTTAACACCTGTTAAGCACAAGATTTATTTTATTATATATATTTGTTTTCACTTTGCACTTTTATTCCGTATTGCACTGATATTATATTTTTTAAAAATTTGGGTTTATATACTCACAATTTTTTCCACGTATGAAATCCTTGTTGCTTTTGTAAATCCAAGTTTGTGGATGATTGGGTGTGTGAGTATATAACTTCTGATGATCCAAACGGTGGTTGATTGGGTGGGTGAATGTATAATATATAAACGGTGTTTAATTGGGTGGGTTTTATTTTATCGGGAACGAATCCGGCTCGAAGGACCAAAATGTCGGGGTACTCGACGTTGAGTTTGCCGGTGTGCCAAATAAAATAAAATATTAATTAAAATTCAACAATATGTAACTTTAATTACTTTGAGTATATAGGGTAGAAATATAGACAATTTGTGTGGGTTAATTGTACAATATTTATGTGTGTGTTTGTTAAGTGTTATAGGTACATATGTATGTATAATTAAATTTATGTGTTATTTATAACTTAAACTTAAATAAGATAAATTAACTATAAATTCAATTATAACCTGATCCCGCGTAGATTTTGGTGGTACTGCTATTGTTGTTGTTGTCCTGCTGGGGCGATCTGATTTTCGCGCCTTTTTGTGTCCGTTCGCGCTAATATTTGCTCCTGCCTGCTGATTTGTTCTAATTAGAATTATGAGCTATGTTGGTGCTGTTGAGCCTTTTGCTTTGTCCTCTAATTCGTATTTATACGAGTTTGGAAAACAATGCAGGGATGTGTTCATTTGGTATGAACAAATACTCTTTTCAATAAAGCTAAGACCACAGCTTCTTAAATAAGCATCTTTGCTTATTTAAGCAACCAATATTCTTTTTATTAAGCTAAGACCACCCATACAATGTAAACAATAAAACTAATTGCTGAATAAGCGAATATTGTAAATTGACAGTTATTGTAAGACTTAAGCATATACGAAAAATATATAAATAAGAGCAAATTGAAATAAAGAGATTTAGT